AACTATAATTATGCAGCTTTATTTTTTAAATTGTTATGTGATTTTTAAATATGTCATGGCTACTTTTGGATCCCTGTGTAAGTCAAAAAAGGAAGCACAAGGTTGGACAAATGTCACCTTTACTACTGATGTAACAACATCATGCAGCTCAGTCTTGTAGGAATCATTCCCATGTACAGAATCTTCCATTCATTTTTATTTTGGGAATCTTTGGATTTAACCAAATTGTCGGGCTCTTGTATGTAATGAGAAATGGAGAATGTTAATAATTTTACTGTGCTGCCATTTTCACCAATAAAAAAACAAAAACATTTTGAAATTGTTTTTGTAATAGTGAGAAACTTTTTAATATGCCCTTTTTTAAAAATCAAAGTTGTTAATGTATTTGCTATTTAATATTGAAGCAGTAAATAGCATACTGTAAATTACTCAAATACTGCACTTACAATTAGTACCAGAACAATTCTGAGCTTTATCTGTGCCGTTAAAAGTTTACAAACAAATCATCTTATAAACTATGAGGCATTTTTATATATTAAACTACCCAGTACCATACAAAGTAGTATGCAAAGTAAAATGCTGATTATATATAAATGCATCAGTAATAATGCAGTTAGGCATCATTTATGTAATTTAACGTTCTGAAATGGGACATTCTGCATAATCTTGATAATACGAGTATATTTTGCTGTTAATATTGCTTGTATTTGTATAGTTTCGTAATGCTACTTCTGAAAATCTGAAATCTGAAAACATCTTCCAATGCTGGTATTATATAGTTTCCACTCTTCTGCAGAGTAATTACATCCATTAGATGTAGCAAAGTGAAAAAAAGCATTCAAATATTTTTAGGATGACAACCGCTCCATCTGGCTAAATCTTTGCTAACTGAAGCCTCAATGTGTCCAAACTAATAGTAAAGCTTTATGCACACCATGCAATATATATCACTTCTAAAAATGTTCAAAATAAAATAAAAGAATAAAAGAACAGTACAAATCATAAGTGAGGGAGTTGCCATCTGCAACTACACCTCTAGATGTCACTAAACCCTCCACACTGGACCTTAAAGGAGGGTAAGATATATGTATGTTTGTATGCAGCCATAAAAAAAATGAATTAATGAGGAAACAAAAGTCATTGTCTTTATTATGTAAGAAAGAAACCAAAAACAATGTCTTTGGAGAAAAAGTCTGGCGCTTAAGGTATTACTGTATTTCCAGATTGAGTAATCTGCTGATAGAGAATAAATTAGAACAATTCACGTAAAGAACACATAAATAAATAAATAAATAAATTATGATTAACAAATAATAAAGTTTGAATTTATGAAGAAAGAATCTGAAGGGATTACAAAGGTTTTAATACGGCGGAGATAGCGGAACCTTTGTGAGGGTGGGGGGCTTATTTCTCTGTTGCACTTGGTGGTGCTACAGGAAAATGTAGCCTGAAAACAAAGGCGGTTGTCAGCGTTATGTGACAGGTAACAACTCGGGGCTCAGACTGACTCTACCCGGGCTTTTGTTGGACTTTTGTTGGACTTTTGTTGGACTCTTTGATGGAAAATGAAGCTGATGTCTTTTATCGGCAGCTGCCAAAGGTGGTAAGTCACAAACGTGTTATTAAAAACACTTTAAAAGAGAGGAAACATCTACTGGGTGAGAGTTTTAAAGACAGTTAAATGTCGGTAACATATGTGTGTGTGTGTGAGCAAGCTAATGCTAACGTCAGCGTTTTTCGGCTGTGACCAGGAGCTGCACGCTCACCTCAACGGATCCGTCAGCTCCCAAACCATCGAGAAACTCATCGTCCGAAAACCGCATCTGAACATTGAACACAGCATGACTGCTATCGGCAAAGGCCAGCGGAGGACACTGGACGAGTGAGTGTGACTTTGAGTAGATGTTCTTCATGTATGTGTGTGTTTGTGTTCACTGTATTCAGGTTTGACAATAGGGAACTGATAATGGGGAAAGGGGGATCAGCATTAAAACAACATGGCGCGCATGTCCGCAGGTGTTTTCAGGTCTTCAAGGTCATCCATCAGCTGGTGGACACCGAGGAGGATATCCTGATGGTGAGGAAGGGCTGTTTGTGTTGTTGCTTCTCTCATTTTGTCACCCCAGGGTATCAGTCTTCAGGAGATCTTTGTTTCTTTCCAGGTGGCTACAGATGTTATCAAGGAGTTTGCAGCGGATGGTGTCAAATATTTAGAACTGAGAAGTACCCCAAGGGAGGAGAAAAACACAGGTACGGATGTCAACGTGGAGCCCAACATACACACATTGATGGCATGATGGTTTTACCAAATAGAGCTTTTTCACAGGAGGCATGAAATAGTAGGGGAATCACCGGTGATACCAATGATGGTAATTAAAGTTAATCAGTATCACTGGTAACACCTGTTACTATTTCATGTCAAAATGGCTGCTGTCTATTATTATTATAAGTATTATAATTATTATAATTATTATTATTATTATTGTTAGGCTTACAGGTTTATTATCTTTTGTCCTAGGGTTGACAAAAAAAGGATATGTAGAAACTATCATCAAAGCCATCCAACAGTGTAAAAACGAGGGAGTGGACATTGATGTCCGGTAAGCTGTGTTATTTCAGTGTGTGTGAGAAAACCACCAAAGATATTACAAAGTGTTTTACTGTGATGATCCACTAACTCGAGTGCTGCCCACAGCAGTGTTTGCTTCTAAACGAGCCCATTTGTTGTGAAGGTTTCTGGTGGCGATTGACCGCAGGAATGGGACTGAAGTAGCAATGGAGACGGTGAAGCTGGCTGAGGAGTTCATGCTGTCCTCTGGTGGTCTGGTGGTGGGACTCGACCTCAGTGGAGATCCAACGGTCAGTCAGCCATGTGGGACTTTTTTATTCCAAGTATTATGCCTCATTAGAGTTAAAACACCCACTAGATAGCTAGAAGAGTTGTAACGTTAAAGTTAGAGACGCTGAACTCAACTAACGATTGGATTCAATTCACGAGACCTAAAAGTAACACTGAAACTAATAAAAACTAAACTAAAACTAAACATTTTAAGAAAATAAAAGCTTAACTGAAACAAGCAAACCCCACTCTGGAAACTGAACTGAAACTGGTTTAAAAACAAAATAAAAACTAACGCAAAGTTACACAATAAGATTTAGAACAAAATGAGATCGAAGTGACCGAAAAAGGTTTCTCAGACAAAATCTACAAAATGTATTTTCTTTATGAAATTATAGAATACATTTTCATTTCCAAGGTAGTGTATAAGCTTGCATAAACAATGTACATTTCCTTTTCTTTGTAAAAGTGAAACGGAACTCTTTGTGCCTTTTTAATGTCACGATTCATTTTTCATCTCACCAATTTGAATCTTTAACATATTTGTATCGCAGTTTAACAGTCTGGCAATATATCGTTAAATCCCTTGTTGAAATACTTCTTACAGGTCGCAACCTACGCAGAATGATTACTTTTATTTTTGGTACTCTAGTATAGTGTACACTCAGTTTTCTTATAGTACAAAAGCTTTGTCTCTTATCTGAAGTGTGATCTTTCCATAAAGCTGTGGTATCATTACTGTTTCGTATCCCAGCAGTGTGGTGGAGCTCAATTATAAACTAATGTTAACAGGGTCTCTCTTGTGTGCTTGCTGTTTTACACTTGTTCACACTGTTCTTCAAATGTAAATATTTGTCAGTCTGAGTGGCACAAATTCATTGTGTTTTTTTGAATGGTCCAATACCGTTTATGACTTCAGACTTCAGCAAATCAAATCAAAACTATCTGGAATATTTTAAGGCAAAAATGTGTGTTTTTCCATCACAGATGCTGGATTTTGTCAAAGTCTTTCCTGTTAAATAATGTGGTTTTCATTTTAAGGTTGGCCATGGCAAAGACCTATTTCCTGCTCTACAGAGGGCCAAGAACTATGGTCTGAAGTTGTCACTGCACCTCTCAGAAGTATGACCACAACATTTTTAATGTTATTTGTTTTCTGTTATCTGTGAGTGCTCTGACATTACAACAATAACTGTTGCAGGTACGGTCACAGCTGGAGGAGTCAGATTTGCTGTTGAATCTTCCTCCAGACAGGATCGGTCACGGCACCTTCTTGCATCCTGACGTGGGTGGATCTCAAAGTCTTGTTGACAAAGTAGTGAAGAACAACATACCGCTGGGTAAGACTGAGATGAAATTATTTTATCTTCTGTGCACACTGAAGTGATTTGTTTTTTGATTTCTCAACCTTCTTTTTCTTGTAGAGCTATGTCTGACATCAAATGTCAAAGGACAAACTGTACCGTCATACTCCAAACATCATTTCGAATACTGGTACAAGCTGGGACATCCAAGTGTGATTTGTGTAAGTTTCCTCTCTTTGCACAAATACTTTTTTCCCCCTTTTAAAATTAGGGCTGCGTAGAATTTAAAATATTTAAGTTTCAATACTGATGCAAAAATGAAACTTTATTGGTTCCTTACTTTGATATAGATGAAACATGTTTTTTGCTTAAAACCAATTTAGCCAAACTTATTAAATGTTTTTCTTTTTACGAATAGTCACAGAAACTGTGCCTCAATTCTTGATTTAATTAGTTAAATATTTAACAAAACACAACTGAACTAGACTGAGAATTTAACCAAGCATTTGTTTTTGATACTTGGACACAATTTGGGCAGGATTAAAAATTATTTAGGTTGAATATATAATCAGATATTTGGTTTGCTTTGTTTTTAGGAGTACCCAACAATTAAGTATTGCAGTTTCATTGGGGGGCTTCAAAGTAATATTAAAAAAAAGAATAGTCAAAATTGATGTCTCTCACTGATTGTTTAATGCCAATGCTCTAAGTTTATAACTAAAACTATAAAGTTTCCTGTCAAATTTTTAGTCTCAAGCCTGACTACTGTGTTCACAGGCTGAGTAGTAGTTCCCTTTAAAAAAAAAAAAAAAATCATTTATATAGGTACTAAGATGACAGTTAATGGTGAGAAAATCAAAGTTTACCATGAATTTTTATTCTTTGTCACATTACAGACTGATGATAAGGGAGTCTTCTGCACAGACTTGTCTAAGGAATATCAGCTGGCAGCTTCCACGTTTGGTCTCAGTCGTGAAGCTGTATGGAAGCTCTCCCAGCAGGCCATAGACTGTATCTTCGCACCAGACACTGTGAAACAGCAGCTCCGGCAGAAGTGGATTGATCTACAGCCTCAGGTGTTCAAGTGACCTGTTCAGTGGAACTTAAAAAACCAATATACCTCACATTTCAGTTTTAAAAACATCTCTGTTAACCTTTTTACAAGTTTTTGTAGAAATCATGACCTCAACTAAAAGGGAACTCTTAAAAAATATGTGAAAATGTTTGAAATACTCAATAGTAAAGGAATACCCATTTAGTACGAGTAAGTGTGTTATTTTCTGCTGATATACAGTATCTGTGCAGTGTTGCACTTAACATAAATCAAAGCAACAAACTTGTAATGACAATGTAGAAACATCGGTATAAGTGGGTAGCAGAACTAAAAAGAATGAAG